ATGGCAACCCTTTGATCCACAAGAATTGAACTCTTATTGGACTTAAATTAGATTAATTAGAGGTTGTTCTTTATGCTTCTTAGGCATCCCAAGCTTCTCTAGGTCCATCTTACTTTATATGTTCTAAATAAGCCCATTCAATGTTTCTTTAAGCTTATTTGCCCTAGCTCTTGTAATGAGCTTGCCTGGCACCTCCAATTGGTCTTTGTCATTATTAAACTTGGTGATGGGCTAAACTCATTAGTTTTGTTTTTCAAATTTATCTTTTGATATTAAGTTATTTAAAAATTAAGATTCATAATTTTTTTTATTTAGAGAAATTTAAGAATAGGTTGTTTGGAAATAGAACAAATAAATTTCTAAATATCAGCACAAAGACTAAGAATCTTTCTCCAACTCCAAGAGCAATTTTCGAGGCAAGGAATCTTCCAAATACTTGTACCACATAACAAATAAGAAGATATCTAGAAAGACAATATAGATTTGGCTGGATTAATAATAGACCATAAATGTTTAATCATGGCTACGCGGTTCCACACCTCAAGATTTTTGACACCCAAACCCCCTTCCTCTTTAGGCAAACAAATTGTATCCCAAGCAACTTTTGCATTACCATAAGAAAGATCACTACTCTTCTATAAAAAAAAAAAAAAAGACCTCAATAAAAAGTTTATTTTCTCAATAATAGCCTTTGGAAGAATAAACAAGACCCATACACCTAAATAAAGAAGAGGATGGGGTTAAGAAGTTGAAGTCTACTTGCATAAGAAAGATAGGGGTTCAACAAACTCCTATCTTTAGCAATAATTCAAACCACAAATTAAACAATCATAAGAAAATACATTTATAGTAATTAGAGGAACACCAAGATACCTAACCAACAATCTTCCTTTTTTGTAATTAAGAGCACCATAAAGTTGCAGTTTAGTATTAAGCTCAACATCACATAAGAACATAGTACTCTTATCAAGATTTTCGGATAAACCTAAAGCAACCTAAAATTGATCAAGGCAATTCCTAACCAATAAAGTCGAGGCCACCTTCTCTTATTTGCTTATCCACCTTCGTTGTCATATATCCACCATGTCTTTTAATTTCACATATCATTTTAATTCTACAACATTTGTAATGTCCCTAATTCAACCCATTAAGAAATCTAGCCATAGTAGCTTTCCTATCCTCAATCACATTGGCCTGAATCTTTATGATCTCCATCTCCTAGAAACACTCATTCGTAGACTTAGAACCCTGACTCAAATCTCTATAATAGTTGTTCGGCACAAATCACCTCCTCAGCAACCCTTTCATTTTCTTCCATGATGATATTAGCCTTTCTTCACTCTCCTTCATACTAATCATATCCTAATCCCACCAAATCAGTGTGTAATCCATGAATTCAATGACCACCACTTTCACCCTCTTTGCCTCTAAATAGTTATGGCAATCAAAAATCTAATTTGCATTTTTCTCTCACTCCAAATACATCTAGGAATTGTTTTTACCTTGAAAACTAGGTATTTTGGGTTTGATATCATCTAAATCATTATCTGCATCATCATGTTCCCTAAAGTTACGAAAATTTCCCTATTAGCTGAATTGGCCCTTGGTTCTATTCCCAAAATCCCTTCAATTTCTAGAATACCAAAAACCTTCTCTATAGCCTATGGTCTCATCTTTAAAACCACACTGATATTATCAACTTCCTGCTCAAAATCCTCATAATCAGTCCACTTTGGCCTTTTGGCCCTACTATCATTGTTTAATTTTGGATCAGCCCCAACCTTTCTCATATCTTGGGTACTTTTACCAACCTTGTTAGCACGTTTCGCCACCCTCTCAAGCTCTTCACACACATTCCCCATCACAAAATTCATTCTCTCCATTATCTTCATCATATTCATTCTCTCCGTTATATTCATCATAGCTTAAATTTGGAAATTAAGTTCAACCTCGAGAGCGAATGGTGTGTGTTTTGATCTAAAATGATAATACCTATAAAAATTAGTTAGAGTTATAAAAATATCCTCACATCACTCGTGTTTCACTTAAAATTAGGCTTTCCCCCCCTTGTATCACCTTTTTTCAACTCTTACAGAACTAAAACCAACACCAAATAGAACCAATACAGTGGTGCCATCCAAATAGGTGTATGTGACTCAAAAAGCAATAAAAACATAAAAATACAAGCAAAACAAAATTGCAATGATAGTCTCGCAACTAGCAAGCAAATCTATCCAAAATATAAACGAAACTGAAGACTCGAATCAAAATAGAAATGAAGTATGCATGATGATGGAACAAAATCCAAATATATTAGATATAGTTGTAAATATATTGTAAAAAATGAATACAATAGAAAAAAATGATTTTCAAAAGTTGACCTAAAAACAAACCCATCTAGGACAAGTTAAGTCTAAATCTGAAACCTAAGGTAAATGATGTCTAATTGAGTTAAAATTTTAGATATAATGTTATTTCAACCCAAATAGATAAAATATTAAATTTGAACAATTTACAATAAGGTTTGTTATGCTAATACAAAAACATTATGAATCAGACTTGAGATTAAAACATAAAAAACAATATCCAATTGATCCCAAAATTAATATATAGTGTGATTAGGACCCGTATAATCAAAGTATTAAATTTGAGCTAATTCCAAGTAGATTGATCTATTTTTTTCTTGTTTAGTTTTCTACAGCATAATTAAATAACTGTCGTTTTGAATGACTTTTTCTCTTATCTTTTCTCATTTTTTTTATGCTACTAATATAATAGTAATAAAAATAGCCCTAAAGGAATAAAATAAATTCTAATAGACTCCTTTCATGTGGATTTATATGAGGCTCATTTATTATTGACCCAAATAAGTAATAAAAAATCAAAGATTAAGAAAAAAATAACAAAATTAATAAAAATCTGAAATTAATATCTTAGATATGCTAGAATTAGATTTTCCACCTCTAAGAAGTCTCAAATAGAATAAAGAATCTGATTTGAATGTGAAATTAATTATGAAGTCTTCTTGCTTTTTTATGCTTGGTTTTCTTATTTTGGATGGACAAATAATGAAAAAAAATCTCCATCTTTTATATTTGCCAATTTAATTTCCTTCAAGAATTATTAATTAATCCTTCCTAGCTTAGAAAATCATATTTGGTAACCCTTTGATCCATATGAATTAGGCTCTTCTTGAACCTGAATTAGATGAACTAGAGGTTGTTCTTCTTGCTCCTTAGGAGTTCCAAGCTCCTCTAGGTCCATCTTACTCTATATGTTCTAAACAAGCCTATTCAATACCTTTTAAAGCTTCTTTGCCCTAGTGCCTGTAATTGACACACTAAACACCTCTAATAGATTGATACACGAAACATCTCTAATAGATCTTTGGCATGATTAAGCTTGGTGGTAGGTTGATCCTCATTAATTTTTTTTTAATTTTATCTTTTAATATTAGATTATTTGAAAATTGAGCTTCATAATTTTTTTTTATTTACTTTTAGTAAATTTATCCAGATCTCATAGATTTAATTATTTTTCTCTTGATTTTGACTTTCAACATTAGATTTGTTGGAAATAGAGCTTTATTTTTTTTTATGAAGTTATTTCAATCTTATAACTTAAGTCACATGTTTAATAGATTAGCTTGAGTGGTTTTTTATTTTTCCTTTTGTTAATTTTTTTTTAATTTTATTATTCAACCTTTAGTTGATTAGAAATTAAGCTTCATATTTTTTTTTTCCTATTAGGTTATCTTGTTCTCATGACCCAGGTTACAAGGTTAACAGGTAAATTTGGATATTTTTTTTTATTAGGTTATCTTGTTCTTATGACCCAACCTTAAATTTATAATTAATTTTTTTTATTATAAAGTACATAATCCATGTTTGAACAATTTTTGTACATTAAAAATAATAATAATTTGACCCGCGTAGCTGCCCAACAGAGGCCAATAATGGAGTCCAAATTCTAAGTTGTATACCCTTTTGTCTTGCTGCTGCTGTATAATGCACGTCGGCCTCGGACCTAGGCTGTAGGCCCAAACTGATAGAAAGCCCAAATCACTCAATAGGGAAAGCCCACTGAAGTGTAAACTAGCCTAACAGCTGTCTCGTCTCAAAAATCTGCAAGAACGAAGCAGCGTGTTTTAGAATTGGGAGATTTCGAAGCGCTATGTCTTTCTGCATAATTCCCAACTAATTTGCTGAAAGATAGATCTTTCTTTTAAGGTAAATTGTATCTCTCAGTTCTTTTAATTTAGTGGGCGTTTTTTATTCCTGTGTTTTTAAGAAAGGTTCATAAAAATGAGCTAAATTTTACCTGGTTTTGATAAGCTGAGTGTTGAATTTTTTCGATGCATGTCCTCGTGTTCTTGGTATGGATAATTTTACTTCTCTACTTTCTGATGGATACTGTTATCAGTTGGCAGACTTGACTTTGGTTATTTCTTGGGCCTTAAGAATAAATTTGAGCTTAGTGATCCTTTGTCAAGTATATTCACTAAACTATTGTCATTCTTCGATCAATTCCTCGCTGTTGATGACATGGGGAGACCACTTTATGCATAGGAGTTGTTTCTTGATAGTGGAGAGATCATGTGGGCCATTTATATTTTCAATGTAAAATATTGAACTTGGTAATTTGTTTTGTTGATAACTTGTTAACATGATCTATTAAAAACAAGGCAGTACTTGCTTTGCTGAAAAGTTAATCATGTGTTTAGAGTGGAAAAGTAGTTGGTAGTAAGTTCACGTTTAAGCTGATGGGCATTTGATATCATCTCTCTTCCAATGGCCATTTAAAGGGTGTGTTTTGAAAAATCTTGAATATTGCTCCATGTATGTTCTGGGTTTTCTGTAAAGCCATGCAAAGTGTTGCCTTTCATGATCAGAGGTTTTTTTTTTTTGAAGTTAAAATTTTTTAATGGAATTGTAGATGGTGAGTCGAATTATGAGGTCAAGGAGACAAGTTCCTCGGCAGCCAGAACAACCACGGGCTAGATGGACAAATGGTGTCACGAAGGTATTTTTGGACATGATGGTTGATCAGGTTCAAAGAGGGAATAGAATTAGCAATTCTTTTAGCAAAAAAGCATGGAAGCATATGAGTGCTGAATTCTACCGGAAAACAAGTTTGAGATGGGACTTGGAGCAGTTGAAGAACAAATATGCAGCCTTGAGGAGGCAATATGCTCTTGCAAGCTCACTTGAACGAAGTGAATTCAGTTTGGATGAATCTACAGGGATGATTAGTGCCAATGATGAAGCATGGGCTGCATACATAAAGGTATGTTCTTTCTGTCGTTGCTTTTTGCAATTGAAAACCTCTCCTGCCTAAGATTGAGGAAGCCTCCTTGAACCCATACTTCGGGGCTGCAATAGATATATATTTATTGGATTTATATGTCTTTTTTATTTAATTATGCTAAAACTGGTACCTTGATAATGCCATTAAATGATGTATAATGCAACTTCTAGTTCCAGTACTAGCCTGTAATGCATATTATTGGGGTTGGACTTCCTCCAAACCTGGGGCTGGAGGCTGATTTGTGTTCTTTGAATGTCAGCCTGAAACACTCTGTGAAATGTACACATTAGGAACGCCCTGATGCTGAGACTATAAGAAGCAGTGGCTGCCCTATGTACGAACAACTTTGCATGATATTCTCTGAACCAATGACCAATGGGAAGCATAGACAAGAGGGAGGGATTCCTTCAGCTTGCAGTAAGGTTCCTTTGAACACTATGGAAGAGGATTCATCCTCTTCAGAATCTGATGAAGCAGATGATGTAGCAGATGATCAAGACACATATCAACAGCCTACCTATGGTACTTCTGCTACAAGTGCTAATCGTAAAAGAGGTCGCAAGGGCATTGAAGATGCTATTGCTGCGGGCTTATTTCAGATGGCAGCTGCATCCAAGCTGAGAACACGTGCTGTAAGGCAAATTAATGCGAGATACTGTATAGCTGACTGTATTGAGCAACTAGATGAGATTCAACGAGTTGAGGAAGAAGTCTACTTTGCTGCTCTGGATCTATTCAAGAAACCTAGTGCAAGGGAGATCTTCTTGTCTCTCAAAGTCGAGAAGCGCTTAATTTGGTTGCGTAGCAAGTGCACTGATAATCCAGTATTGTAGGTAGAAAGCTATTTATTTTGTCAGTTGTATACATTTGAAGTCTTGTATATAACTAGCTAGTTCTCGTTTATGTCATCTTTGCCAACTCAAACCGTGGGCATTTTGAAACTGGTTTCAAGTCATCTTTCGTTCTTTTCTATCACCAATATCATCGCATTGCACTGTGATTGAATTAAATTTTTTTTTAATGTTAAAAAAAGTTAAAGCCTTGTTTTTTAATAAAAAAATTTTAATTGTAAGCTCAAAACATTATATATATTGAACATTTAAAAAAAATAGTAATATGTAGACAATTAATGATATTTCTTTCAAATATTGAGAATACATTAATTTAACATTAATTAATTTGTCAAATTAACAATTACGTCATAAAATTATAATAACCTTATAAAAAAACAAATTAAAATAAATTATAAATGTCAATTTATAATCAATATAATGTTCAATGATAAAATTAAAAAAATATTAAATTTAAAAAGGAAAGGAAACTACTTGACTCAATTTAGACTAACTTATTAAATTCATGATCCAAGTTATTATATCAGGATAACTCTATAAAAAAAAATTAAAAAAAAATTACAAAGTTCAATCCTCATTAACTCGATATTGAATAATGAAATAAAAAAAATAACCTAGAAACTCTAAGTTAACTCGAACTAACATTAATCACAAAAGGCAAATAAGAAAAATTTTGAAACTTCATTTTTAACAGATTCAATGTTGAAGGTTGAAATTGGGGGAAAAAAAATTATATCCATTAGATTAAAATAACTCCAAATAAAGCAAATTAAAAACTAAATTACAAAACAATATTTCTTAACTTAATATTGAAGGATGAGATTTTAAAAAATAAATAAATAAATAAATTGATACGATCCAAGCAAGGTCAAATTTGAATTTTGATGTAAAATGTGCAACTATCCAATTTTACGGCAATAGTCATAATTCTCAATCCGACTGTTTGATCGAGCTGAAAGTACTTATTTGGGTCAATTGTAAGTGGGCTACATATAAGTCCACCTAAGGGGGGTTCATTAGGGTTTCTTTTAAGTCTAGAATCACTATAAATAGAGGCATAACCAAACATGTAGAGGAAGACTATTCAGATAAATAAAACTTCTTGTTTGCCGCACTTTGTGTGTATGTGTGTTGGTGAGATAATCTCCCTTCCTTGGTTCTCTAAAGAACTGAAAACGACTTATCGAAGAACAACTGTCTTCGTGGCGTCATCCTTATACTTCTCGTTCGCGAATCAATATTCGTTGGGTGGGGGTTTCCGTTTTCAATAGTGCTGGTGCCTAGGTACAAGTTATCTTTGTGTCACACTCCTATCAAACCTGATTTACTTGGCTTTCCGGGAATTGGCATCTTTGCGTGTGGGTTGCGTGACCATGTGATCACGAGGTTCGCATCATTTGGTATCAGAGCTTGGCTCCATTAATCAGGTTATATCCTCCTGAAATTTTTGTTTCTTGTTAATTCCGCAAAAAATTCCTTAGTATCCAATGTCTTCTTCTCCTTGAATTTACGGCATATAAAAGGAAACAAAATTGTTATTTCATTCTGTTATTGTTCAAAATATATAATTAGCATCGAAAACAAAAAAAAAAAGAAAAAAAATTGTTCAAAAAGACGTTTATTGGATTCTGCCGCAGAAAACTAAACAAGAGACAATTGGATCAAATCAACTCAGAAATTTCTCAAATTTGATATTCGAATTACTAGGGTCCTAATCGCATTACATATCAAATTTAGGGTCAATTGGATTTCATTTGCTTTGGGTTTCAAGTTCGGGTCTAATCAGGTCTGATTCATAACGTTTTTACGTCAGTATATCAAACCTTGTCATAAATTGCTCAAACTTTATTTTCTGTCTATTTGTGTTGATATCGCACTATATCTGAAATGTTAACTCAATTGGACATCATTTACTTCAGGTTCCAGATTCAGACTTCACTTGTCGTAAACGAATCTGTCTTGCATCAACGTTTGAAATTCACTTGCTTTCTGTTGATTTCGTTTCTTGCAGTTTATTTCCATAATATCCATCATATTTGGGCGTTGTTTATTTTTTGTTTCTATTTTTTATTCGAGTCTTCAGTTTCGTTGATATTTCGGATAGACTCGTTTGCTACTCGAGAGACTATCATTGTAGTTTCGTTTTGCTTGTTTTCTAGTTGTTATTGCTTCTTGAGTCATATATCTATTTGGATTGCGCTGCCAAGTTGGTTCAATTTGGTGTTGGTTTCAGTTTCGCAAGAAGGTGAGATGAGAGGTGTGAGCGTGTTAGGATATTGAGTGTTTGAGCGAAACACGAGCGGCGTGAGGATAATTT